GTATCTTTAAAAATAGGTCTTGTATAAATAAATAAATCCAAATATCTTATACTATTTATATCACCCATAAAATCCAAAGGTTGATTCGAGAAATACTTTAGGTCGCCACTATATTTCTTGATTAAGGTTACATTATTTAAATGGTTAAAAAAAATAAAATAAAAAAAATATAAAAAAATAATATTTTTTTTCAAAATAAAAAATAAAAATAAAATAATTTTATATTTATTTGAATATAAAAAGGGTCTTAATAAAATATAAAACCATGGTAGAATATTTATTATTATAGTGTTATTGTTGTTCAATGTATCAAGTTCATCAACTAAATAAAAAAAGCATTCAATTGTAAAATATACAACGAAAAACAATCATATCAAAAAATATATGGTCAAAGATATCAAACAAAGATTTAACTCAATTAGTTTAAAAGTATAATATGATCATGACAATAATGATAATAATAAAAATATTTTTATATTGTTTCTTTTGTGAAATCAAAATCATCTACAAGCTATACAGACTACAGCATTAGCATTACGAAATTCTACAGATTTACCAATACTGCCAAAGATTAAGATTAATTGTAAAAGTGGAGTTCAGATATATCAAATCAATATATAATGATAAAATTTTATTTTTTATGTACATTTAAAACAATAATTTTAGGTTATATTTTTTTTTTTTTTTTCTTAACAAAAATATTTAAATTTTTATTCTAATTCTGAGCTATAATTAGCTTTTTAACGCTGTGGTTGTATTTTGTTATGGTATGTTTATTTGCTTAATCTAATTTCACCTGGAGCTGAAAGTCTTTTTTTTGCATGAGTTATATTTGAAAAGTCAACTAATGAATTTCTTGAAAATCTAACTGGTCTCGTATTTACAGTTGGAAGTGATTTTACAAGTGTGTTGGCATCGTTTAATTGTTTAGAGAGACTTTTATCAAGCTCGCCATCTGACATTGGCTCCATTCCACTATCACTATCGCTTGTATCGCTGTTGAACATTTTTTTAGGTGATTGTTTAGTTGGTGTTCTATTTCTTTTTATAGGTTCAGAACCAACTGTGGTGGTTATTGTTGATAGTGTAGTTGTAGTTGTGGTTGTAGTGGTTGTGGTTGAATGTGGTTTTCCTTTGGTTGGTGTTTGTTTTGATGGAGTTCCTACTTTTTTTGAAACAGCTACTGGAAATTTAGATGGAGTCTTTGGAGTATTGGTAGATGAAGGTGTTTTCTTTACTTTGGTAACTTCATTTTCTTCACCCTCCTTGTCCTCCTCTGGTACTTTTTTAACTGGGGTTTTTATGGTACCAGATTTTTTTGCAGCAGTTGGAATTTTTTTTGAAATTTTAGATGGGGTTTTTGGTGTAGCTGCATTTTCTGAAACTGAGATAAAACTATGGTTACTAAAATCGTGACTTAATTCAGTTTGGACATTTGAATAATAAAAATAAAAGCCATAAATACCAAATACAACCTTTGGCTTTAATTCGATTTCTAACATTTTATATGGATTTATAATAGAGTCAATTTTTACACTTCCATCTGCTTGAATATCGGTTAAATAACATTTTTCAACTTTACCACCTGCTGTATAGACTTTTATTTTTATATGTTTTTCTAAAATTTTATTGATTTCATTATTATTATTTAATTTTTCATCAACTTCTTGCATAGTTTCATCTTTATTATTGTTATTATTATTATTATTATTATTGCCATTGATATTGACATCATTATTGCTATTATTACTTATATCATTATTGTTATTATTATTTTCGAATCTTGATTCTTCTTTAATTTCCTGTTTAGCCACATCCTCTTTTGACTCTTCCATTTCATCTTGTTTAATGGTTTGGTCTTTAGCTTCATCTTGTTCACTCTCTTGTTTTCTCTCTTGATTTTGCTCTAGATTTTTCTCTTGGTTTTGTTCTTGTTTTTGCTCTTGTTTCTCTTGATCTTTTTCTTGAACTTTTTCTTGTTCTTTTTCTTGTTCTTTTTCTTGATCTTTTTCTTGTTCTTTTTCCTGTTCTTTTTCTTTTTCTTTTTCTTCAGTAGCTCCATTTTGCTCTTTTTTAATCTGTTCTTGTGTATTTGCTTCATCTATCTTTTCATAATTTTCATTTTCTTTGCAGGTTTCCATTTGAGTGCAATCATCAGTGGTATTTGATGTTTCAATCTTTATAGTTTCTGGATTGCTAATATTATCACTATTATTACTATTTTTATTACTATTGTTATTACTATTGTTATTGTCTATATTTTTATTATTGTCATTGCTATTGTTATTATTATTTCTATCTTTAATTACAATTGCACAATATTTTTCTTCAGAACCAATAAAAAATGATGGTTTTAATAAAACTATTGACCCATATTCTTTCAGTTGATCTTCTTGTTTTTCTAATACGACAATTTCTCCATAAAAAGCCATTTTGTTTTGTTTAAAAAAACAGATAATTATTTTTGTGTTATTTTACAGATTATTTTTAATTTAAAATTTTTTTTTTAAAAAATTAGAAAAAAAAGAAAAAAGAAATTTTTAGCGCATTTTGCAATTTTTTTTTGAAACAAATTTTTAATTAAAAAAAAAAAAATTATTTTAATTTTTATTTTTATTTTTTTTTAATTATCTTTTTTTTTATATTTTTTATAAACCATACAATAGCACAATAATATTCAATAAATAATATATAATAAAAATGTATAAAACTGGTTTAATTAGAATTTTATTTAATTTTCAAGCTAGAAATAAAAATGATTTATTTTTACATTATTACAACGTTGGTAAATTATTATCGATAGCCAATAAGGTCAAAGATCGTTTATATATAGAATTAATTAATTATAATAATAAAGATTTTGGAAATCACTTATTATCACCACCAAATTCCTCTCCAATTTTAAATAGTAATAACAATGTAATAAAAGCTCATAAACTTTACAATGATATATTTGTTGCAGATAGTCGTTTATTTATAAATAAAGATAAATTAATGGAATTTGATGACGATAAATCACCATCAACAATAGTCAGAGAGAATATAGAGCCATTAAAAAACTTGGAAAATATATTTTTCAACTATTATCAAATTTTGTACAATGCAAATCCAAGATTAGATGTTTCAATTATACCACTAGAGCTACTAGACCATAACAACAATTCACTTTATTCACCACCAAACTCATCACCATTCCATCATCACCATTTAAAGCACATCAAAACCCCAATTGATGTATTGTTTGTAGACTCTTTAGATAAAGAAGCCCAAGCAAAAGAGCTAGGGTCCGTAAATAATGATCGTTTAGTAAGAAATCAAATACCAATTAAAAATGTCGAAACTGTAGATCAAGATTTCTTTTACCCAAAATCTTATTTCGATCCATCATTAATAGGCAAAGATATTAAAAAATGGAACCCTCCATTTAAAGGCGTTGTATTAGGTGGTACTTATGATAGAATGCATCCAGGTCATAAAGTAATGTTAACAATTTCATCTTTAATATGCTCAGAGTATATGGAGGTTGGTGTAACCGATAATTCAATTTTAAAAAAGAAGAAATATAGCGAGCTCATTGAACCATTCGAATATAGATCCGAAAAAACCCAAAACTTTTTACAATCCATTAACCCCAATGTCGAATATAATGTAAGCTATTAATCTTTTAAACATTGTTATCATTAAAACTCATTATTAATAGTTGTCCTTTTTTTAATAGATGTTAAAACTCGTTGAGCCATACGCCAATACAATGACCAGCAAAAGACTAGAGTGTATTGTAATCTCACCAGAAACATTCTCAACTGCTATCAAAATTAACGAAGTTAGAAGAGAAACAAACTTAAAGCCTTTAGAAATTTATTCAATCTCATATTTCGATACTCACCATCAAGGTGAAGATTTTAAACTTAGCTCAAGTTATTTAAGAGAATTAGATTTTAAAGCTATGCAAAAAGAAAAAGAGCAACAAACAGAAAAGGAACAACAAAAATAAATAAATACTATACACAATGGGTATAAATAAAGTTTTTTTATTTAAATTATATTTTATTTATTTATTTTAACTATTTACCATTCTATTTCTTTTGGTGTTAAAAATATTAAATTGGATTTATGATAAAATTGAACTATTTTTTTAAAAGATGTTCTTTGAATTTCATCACGGTCGTCCTCAATTAGTTTAAATTGTATTGCCATAGTATTGTAATCCCCTTTACTGTTGAAAACTATTCTTAAGGTTTTATTAACATAGTTGAAAACATCAATTTCCCACGCTTGGATAATCTGCGCATTTTCGATTTGATTCTTTAAAGTGTTGCTGTATTGCGGCTCTAGTAGTTCGTTGGTATTATATGATTTATAATCTACATTGGTTATATTTTCATTATATGTGATTTCTTTGATGTAGGATCCAAACACCTGGCTATTTGTAGCACCATTTTCACCTATGTTTTTAACCCTTGGCAACTCTGGTCTAATGCATTGTCTGCCTTTGAAAACTTCTTTTTTCCTTAAATAATCATCCCAGTATTCATCTGGCCACTCTGACTTTATTTCCTTCCAAAATTTGTTTTTCATCATCCAACCTAACCCAGGAAAGAAATCAGTTCTATGAAATGTTAATATTGCTTGGTCCTCATTTGGATTTATAAATCTTTTTTTACCATTATCGTTCCACGCTGAAATGCAGAACAAAGACTCGTCCTTATCCAACAACGGTGACATCTTTTCAAAATAATCTAAAAAATCTGGTGATACTATTAAGTCATCCTCTACAATTATTATTTTGTCATATGAGAACTTGTCAAATATTTGAGTTAAAAACCATTTGTAATGTCTTGAAATCATTTCGTAATTTGACAGTAACTTTGTTCTATTTGGACTTCTTATCGTTATAATTTCATCACCCATGCTTAATTTTTCTAAATATGAATACATTTCTCTACTATTACAATCTTGAGATACAATAATTGGGAATTTTAATTTATCCTTTCTAATTCTAAATTTAATTTTATTAATATTTAATACCATTATAAAAAAAGCTGTAAATATACCAACCTTATTAAAGATTCTAAAGTTTTTTCTAAATATTCTATTCTTGTGCATGTTGGTATTACTATTGGAATAATCTCTTCACTTTTTAAATCTTTAGCGCTATTTATATTATCAATATTATTATTGTTATTATTATTAATATAATTATTATTGTTTTTATTATTATTACTTTCTATTTGAATTTTATTAGAATTTATTTGATTATTTTGATTATTTAAATCCTTAATTAAAAAATCGTATTTGTTTTTAATAAATAGAAATTCATTTTTATTTATTTTTGATTGGTTATTACATTGATCTAATTGATATTTTATTAAATTTAATTCGTTATCAAATTGAATCTCACTCTTTGCAAAATTCTTCCTAAATTCATCGATTGTATATTGAAGTGAACGTATTGTTTGATTTAATGATTTATTTTGATCTAGATACTTTGATATAGTATTTGTAGATTTATCATTTTCTTTATTTAAATTTTGTTTTTCATATTCTAATAACTCTATTTGTTTTGAACTGCTAATTCCCACAATAAATAAATATAAATAAATAAGTAATCCAACTATAATAATAATTGTTTTAAAATTATTTCTTAAAAACATTATTATTATGTTTTTTATTTATTTATTTATTTTGAAAAATTGTTTTTTTATAATGATTTTTATTTTTTTTTATAAAACTATTTATCTGTTATTTTAAATGAAAATAAAAATAAAACAAAATTAAATATAAATTAAAAAAAAAATAAAAAAAAAACAAAAAAAAACCCACATTAATTATCTGATATATTTATTTATTTTTATGAAAAAAGTGTGGTTATTTTTTGTGTGGTTTTTTTTAGTTATATTTGTAATAAATAAAAGTATTAAAAATATTTTAATCCATCAGCAAGTGATGAAAATATGTAAATAAACTATTTTGATTTTGGAAATTATTAAATACTACAAATAAAACCAAAAGTGTAGTAAATAAAAAGGGTTTCTTTTTTGTTATTTTATAATATTTTTAATATTATATTTTTTTATATATTAATTTATTTTTTTTATTATTTTTCTTTTATTACTTTTTTTTTTTTTTTATTTTTTTTTTTAATATATTTATATTTAGAAACTATATTTTTATTTTTTTGAAATACCCAAAGCTTCGCTTAAAAGATTATCTAATTGTAATTTATGAAGGGTATGGCTGGCAACAGCTGGTGAAGCGGATGATGGTCTACCAGCATAAGTGAGATCGAATGGACGGTTCATATTCTTGAAAGTTGACATAAAGTATGGGTGAACAAAGTTCCAGTAACCCATATTCATTGGTTCTTCTTGAGCCCAAATAGCTTTAGCATTTGGATAATAAGCGAGTTGATCTTGAACTAAATCGAATGGGAATGGATGAAGTTGTTCAACACGTACAATAGCAGCATCTTTAATCTTGTGATCAGCACGAGCTTGAATTAAACTGTAATAAACTTGACCAGTACAGAAGATAACTCTTGAAACTTTTTCTGGTGAATTAATTTCTTCTGGGAAAGCTTCTGGATAGAGACGGGCGAATGAATCAGTAGAGAATTCTTCAGCTTTACTGAAAGATTTTTGGTATCTTAAAAGGTATTTTGGTGTGGCGATAACTAATGGCTTTCTGAAATCTCTGTGAACTTGACGACGGAGAGCATGGAAATAATTTGCTGGAGTTGAGCAATTGAGTACTTGCATATTACTGTGTTGAAGTTGTTTACGTTCAGCTTCTTCTCTAGCTGGGATCTTATTTGGATCACCATCACATAATTGGAGATAACGTTCGATACGACATGATGAATGTTCTGGACCAGCACCATCATAACCGTGTGGTAAAAGCATGGTGAGACCACTTTGTCTCATCCATTTTTGTTCACCACTTGAAATAAATTGATCAATAATAACTTGAGCACCATTTGAGAAATCACCAAATTGAGCTTCCCACATAACTAAAGCATTTGGATTTTCTAAAGAGTAACCTAATTCGAAACCAAGAACTGCAAATTCTGATAATGATGAATTAGATGGTTCAAATTCAGCGGCTGGTTTTCCAAATTCTTTACCGAGTTGTTTTAATGGAGTGTAGGTGGCATCAGTATTTTGATCGTGTAAAACGGCATGACGATGTGAGAAGGTACCTCTTTCGACATCTTGGCCAGAGAGACGAACGTGGTGTCCTTCTAAAAGGAGTGAACCAAAAGCGAGGGCTTCAGCGGTGGCCCAATCGAAACCTTGTTTCTTATCAAACATTTCTTTCTTTTCTTTTAAGATTCTCTTGATGGTTGAGTGGAGTTCAAAGTTGGCTGGTTCAGTGTAAAGAACTTTACCAATTTGTTGAACTAAATCTTGTGGAATACCAGTTTTACCTGGGTGACCTAATTGAATTGGTGATTTGAAACCTTCCCAACGACTTTCTAACCAATCGCTAGCTTTTGGTGTATATTTCATACCTTCTTGATAACCCTTTTCGTAGGATTCATGAATAATATTTTTAATTTGTAAGTATTGTTCTTGGGTGAGAACTTTTTCGTTGACTAATTGTTGAGAGTATTTTTCGATGATTGGGATTTGTTTGGCAATTTTATCGTACATAATTGGTTGAGTGAATTTTGGTTGATCAGTTTCGTTGTGACCATGTTTTCTATAACAAACAATATCAACAAAAACATCTCTTTGGAATTTTTGTCTCCATTCAGCAGCAATCTTGCAAACGTGAACAACTGCTTCAACATTATCACCATTGACATGGAATACTGGAACATCAATAGTTTTAGCAACATCGGTACAGTATTTAGAGGAACGTGAGCAATATGGATTGGTAGTGAAACCAATTTGATTGTTTACTACAATATGGATTGTACCACCAGTAGAATAGTGATCTAATTTTGAAAGATGAAGAGTTTCATAGACAATACCTTGACCAGCAACTGAAGCATCACCATGAAGTTGAACTGCTAAAGATTTCTTTTGGGAACTATCGTTAGCATAATGTTGTTTAGCTCTAACTTTACCTTCAACGATTGGATTAACGGCTTCAAGATGTGATGGATTGGCAACTAATGATAAATGTACCTTTTTACCACTGCTAGTAACACGATCGTAACTGGTACCTAAATGATATTTGACATCACCTGTTGATGAGTATTCACCTTCAATTGAAATAACACCACCATTGAATTCGTTGAAAATGGCTGGTAATGGTTTTCTAACAACATTAGCTAAAACATTTAAACGACCTCTGTGTGGCATACCAAGAACAATTGATTCGACACCGTCATCAGTTGCGGTATCAATCATTGCCTTCATACCTGGAATTAATGATTCACAACCATCTAAACCAAAACGTTTTTGTGCTCTATATTTTAATTGTAAAAATCCTTCAAATTGATCTGCCCATGATAATCTCTCTAAAATTTTAATTTTATCTTTGGCTTCGAATGAATAGTGATCAAAAGTTTCGAATTTTTCTCTAATCCAATCACACATTTCTCTGTCCTATTTTTTAATATAAAAAAAAAAAAAAATATATTAATATTTCATTCTGTGTGTTTATTATAATATTATAATTATTTTTATTATTATTTTTTTATTATTATTTTTTATTATTTATTTTTTATTATTATTATTATTATTTTATTATTATTATTTTTGAATATTTTTATTGTTTTAATATAAAATTTTCGATTTCGATAACCCTGGTTCTTCTCCTTTAAATTTTTTTTTTCTTTATCGTCTCTAAAATTTTAAAAATTTTTTTTTTTTTTTTTTTTTTTTTTTTTTTTAAATTTCATCACTCTACGAAAAATTAAATTGAATGTGTTTTTTTCGTAATATTATGATAAGGTTTTTTTTTTTTTTATATTATTATGAGATTATTTATGAATAAATTAATTTTTTACTTACTTGAATATGCATATATTCGACACCAATATCACCACAATAAACTTCTTTTAATCTTTTTAAGATTTGTCTGAGTGTAGTTTGAGGGGCGTTGTTTGTAAGGAAACCTGAGATAAGACCATCACCTACTTGAATTGGTCTATCCATATCAGCTTCGGTGAAACCATATTTGGCTGGGTTTAATTCTTCTGGTTCTCTGTTAGCTTGTAATCCTAATGGATCTAAAGTGGCCATTTCGTGACCTCTAACTTGATAAGCTCTAACTAATAATAATAATTTCATACTGTCAGAAACTTGTTGAGCGCTTGAAGCCTTTTTATATTAAAAATTAATATTTAAATATAATTTATTTTGTAAATATTGATTTAATATTTGTATTGTTAAGAAAAATAAAAAAATATTAGTATGTGATTTTATTTTTAAAAAAATTTAATATTACTATAGTATATACTTACGGATGAAGTAAAGGTTGATGGGGAAGCCTTTTGAGCAGCTGAGGTACCAAGAGTTGGTGGTGACATATAAGCTTCACCGATTGGAGCACCTTTGTCGGCTGATTCAAAGAAAGAGGCCCAACTTTTGTGAACAGAGGTTGGATCTCTTAACCAATTGGAATACATATCTTCAACGTAAACTGAAGAAGTACCATCTAAAAATGATTCTGATAAATCCTTTCTTGATTTTGGTTGGTTAGAGGTAGTGCTAGTTGCGAAATTTCTTTTTAATGAAGCAACATTGCTACCGCTAATTGACTTCAAACCATTCTTTAAGTTGGTTTGAATTGATGATTTAGCAACTGTCTTTAATGTGAACATTGGTTAATGTTATATTTTAACACTATTTAATAATATTAAATGAAAATAAAAAAAAAAAAATTAAAAATTAAAATTAAATTAATTAAATTAATTAAAATATGAAAATTTATTATTTATTTATTGTAGTTATGTTTTTGATTGGTTATTCTATTTGATTTTTTATATATTTTATGGATGTGCACATTTATTTGTTATATGTGTGTGGTTTATTATTTAGTTTTAAAAAAATGAGAAGAATTTTTTTTAGTGTGATTATTTTTTTATAAATTTTTTTTTTTGTTTTATAATGTTTATATACCTTATTATTGTTAATATATTATCGTATATTATTATCGTTGCCACTAAAATCCAAATCATCTACTCCACGTGGTTTGATGATCTTTTATTTTGGTTTAGAAAATAAATATATTAACCCCCCGAAAAAGGGTTTTAAAAAAAAAAAATTTTTTTTTGGAAAATTTAAAAAAAAAAAAAAAAAAAAAAAAAAAAAAAAAAATTTTGTTCAAATTTGAAAAAAAAAATAATTTAAAAAAAAAAATTTTAAAAAAAAATTTAAAAAAAATTAAAAAAAAAATAAAATTTTTATGAGCATAAAAGAAATTGTGTTAGTCGTTTTTTTATAATATGAAGACCAAAGCGTCATGATTCTCTGTTTATGGACTTAAAGTTACTTTAATTTAATTAAATTCATTTTATTTATTTAAAAACTTATTAAATAAAAAAAAAAAAAGGTAATCCTTTTTTGGGGTTATTTTTTTATTTTTAATTTAAAAATTACCTTTTTTTTTTTTTTTTTTTTTTTTTTTTTTTTTTTTTCATCCATTTCATTTAATTTACCAAAAAGTTAAAACAAATAACATTTTTAATTATTAGATATATTTGCAGTTATTATAATATTTTTTTTTTATATCATTAGAATTTAAATTAAATATTATTTTTTTCAGATAAAAATTTTTTATTAATTTGTGGGGATATAAATAAAGTAATCAAACTGGTTACTATTTTATTTCACATAAAATGAAAGATTAAAAAAAAAAAAATTTTATTTTATTTTTTTTTAAATTTTAAAAAATATTTTTTGTTTTTATTTTTTAATTTACCCAATAACAATGGATAGTAGTGATAATAGTAATAAATCATGCTGTTCTTTAATGAATCAGGATGAAATCAATAAACAATATTGTACAAAATCAGTTGAGGAGTTAAATGAATTGGAGAAATTAGAATTACAAAATCACATTAAGTTTATGAAAGAGGCTGTTAAGGAGGTAATTATTATTACAATAAAAAGTCATACCACTACAGTTTATATATTTAATTATTATCATTTTATATATAGGGCGAAAAAGCATTAAAGGAAGGTGAGGTGCCTGTAGCTTGTGTCATTGTTCATAATAATCAAATTATAGCCAGAGGTTCAAATAAAACAAATATAAAAAAAAATGTAAGTGGCTTTTTTTGTGTGCATCATTACTTTTCTTTTGGATTATTTTTGTTTTTTTATTATTGTTATTATTATAATAATGTGTTGTGAATATACCGAGCCGGTTATTTGTTGTTTTGTGATGGCACCACTTTGTTTCATCTAAATCGGTTTTTTTTTTTTTTTAAATTTTTTAATTAATTTTTATTTTTAAAATAATTAAAATTTTTTTTTTTTTAAATTAAAACTTACTTTTTTATTCAGGGCACAAGACATGCAGAATTAGAGGCTTTTGATCAGATTTTCCTAAATAAGGAATTAAATGAAAGATTTAAAGATACCTTATTAGTGGAGTGTGATTTATATGTCACTGTCGAACCATGTTTAATGTGCGCTGGTGCGCTTAGTTTAGCTAAAATTAATAGAGTCTTTTTTGGTTGTCACAATGATAAATTTGGCGGAAATGGTTCAGTGTACAGTTTAAATTTAGCACCGTAGGTATTTAAAATTATTGTAATTATTATCGTCATTATTATGAAGGTGAATTAATAATTTAAAAATTTTTTTTTTTTTAAAATTATCGCTGTTCAGAATATCAAATGGTAAACCATATAATGCAATTTCAGGGTTATTAAAAGATGATGCAATTCATTTATTACAATTATTTTATAATCAAGAAAACACCAAAGCGCCAGTACCAAATAAAAGAAAAAGAGTAGATCCAGAGGTTTTAAAAAAAGAAAGAGAGGAAAGATTATCAAAAATGGATAACGAAGTCAATAACTATAATATTACAACATCAGATGTCGCAGATAATCAACTAATTTTAAATATAACAAATAATAATATAAAAAATTTAGAAAGTCATGATAGTTAATAATAATAAAATAAAAAGTTATATTACACACAAATATAACATGTAAATATAAATATTAATAAATAGATTTAAATTAAATCAATATAAATATTGTTTAACATTCATGTAAATAATTTACAACAAGGACATTATTATCACACAGAGTTTCTTTTCTTTTTTTTAATATATCTATTATGATACACTAAATTATAAATTGTTATTAATGTTTTATTTAAAATATTAATTAATATTGCGCAGGTTTTTTATGTGGCTAGATTTTAATTTTTAAAATATTTAAAAATGTATTATTTAAAAAAAAAAAAAAAGTATTATTATTATTATTATTGTTATTGTTTTTTTAAAAAGCAGCTTCATCATCACGACCATCATCTGAATCTTCCATATCTTCATCATCATCCACCATATTTTCATCACCATAATCACCATCATCTTCTTCACCATCATCCTCTTCTTCGACCTCTTCACCTTCTTCCCCTTCAGCGGCACCTGCACCACCTTCTTGTTTTTGTAAATCATCAAGTTTTTTAGTTGAGACTAATGATTTTTTCTTTGGTTTCTTTCTGTTAACAACTAATTCATACGGGAAATAACCATTTTTGGAACATGGTAAATTTAAATCTGCACCTGAATCATGATTTGAACTATAACGATATCTCTCTATACCATCTATAATCATAATAAATAAATTAATAAAACCACTACTTTAAATGCTTTCTTTTATGCATATCCAAACCTACCTTTAGGCATTATTTTCTCTTTATTTAAATTATATTTTGAAAATGGATAATTATTTTTAAGTTTAACAACGGATGTAATCATTGCAAAGTTATGTAAATCAACAGTTGGTAATGGTGGTATATCTTTTCTTGTGGGATAATTTGATGTTGGTAGTAAAAATGATAATTTCTCTTTCTTTTCACCATCATCCTCATCATCATCATAGTCTCTACGTCTTAATGAATCTGATCCACCATTACTTTGACCCCTGAATGCCATATTTTACCAAATTCTCTTTACTATTACTATTAATATGAATGTAATAATAGGTAAATACAAGTAAAAACGGTATATTTAATTATTGTTATTTATATAAATGCTAATATAATTAAAAAAAAATGAAAAAAATGAAAAAATAAAAATTAATTTTTCGTAAAAAATTATAAAATATTTTTTTAGAAATTTTTTTTTTATAAAATTATAAAAAAAAAACAATGATTTAATTTTCAAGTTTTTAGATTATTTGTACAGAGATGTTATAATACGTTGAGTTGCATTTCATATGGGTCGATGATAAGATAACAATGAAAAATAATTAAAAAAAAGTTTCACGTTCATCACCACCATCTTCAGGATCTGACATATCCTCGTCATCGTCAACAATATTTTCTTCAGCATAGTCACCTTCATCTTCTTCCTCTTCCTCCTCTTCCTCTTCAAGATTGACACCCTCTTCTTGGTTCTTTTCACCTTCCTCTTCCTCTTTTTGCAATCCATCTAATGATTTATTTGATACCTTTACTCTTTTTTTTGTTTTTCTTTTATTTACAACCAAATCATAAGGAAAGTACCCAAATGGTATACCGGGTAATTTGGATTCGATTGAACTTGTCGATCTATTTTTTGTAAACGTAAATCTGTTTGAATATCTTTCAATACCATCTAAATGATAATAATAATATTGGTAAAAATGGTGATAATGGTGATGATGTTATAATAATAAAGATTAATAAATAGTAATAGCATTATTGGTAATAAATAGTTTAAATAATAGTAATAAAAATAATATATTTACCTCCTTCTTCAATTTTATCTTCACCATTTAAATTATATATCGAAAATGGTATATTTTGTTTCAATTTTATAACAGATGTAATCATTGTATAGTTGTGGATATCTATAGTTGGCAAGGGTGGGATATCATTTCTTGGAGGATAATATAGTTGTGGTACTTGAAATGTTGGTTTTTCTTTCTTTAGTACTGATGTAACTTCCCCATCTTCGTCTTCTCTATCACGTTTCTTTAATAGGTCAATGCCTCCATTGCTTTGGCCTTTAAATGCCATATTTGTAAATCCCAAATAACCAATTAAATTTACTTATAATATAAATAAAATTTATGTGTTTAATTTTAAAAAATAAAAATAGATTATGCGTCTATTGCTGTTTTTTTTTATAATGGGTGTGTTGTGTTTATTGACAGTTAAAAAAATTAATTTAATTTTAAAAAAAAAAAAAATTAATAAAAATTAATAAAAAAAAAAAATTAATAGAAAAAAAAAAAATATCTTTTTTTTTTGTACCCACCATTGCTGTTATAGTAAATTAAAATTGAGTTTGGTATTATAATAAACAATTGTATGTTGAAAAGTGGCGCAAAATTTTTTTGAAATTTTTTTTTGGAAATAGATAGTAATTAACTTGTGGTCATTATTAATGAATAGATCTTTATTGGGACTAAATGAGACTAGTTTGTTGTCTTTAAAATAAATAAATTTGGTTCTAAAAAAAGTTTTTTTTAAATCATTTTAAAAATATTATTATAAAATTTTTTTTTTTTTTTTATTTTAAAATTTTTTTTTTTTTTATTTTTAAAATTTTTTTTTTTATTTTCATTTTAAAAAATAAAATATAATTTATACTTGTATAATAATAATAAGATCAAGATCAAGATCAATTAAAAACCAAATTTATAATTAATAGTTTATATTAAAATCTTGTTTATCAATGATTTTTTAAATAATTTGAAATAATAATAATAGTTTTTTTATGGAGTCATTATCATCATCAACATCATCATTAAAAAGCAGTGGTGACTTTTCAACAGTATCTAGCAATGGAAGCGGTATAAAGGCAATAAATTTAAAAGAGATCGAGATCAATTACCAATTTAAAGATTTTGATGATGATATTAGAAACGAAATCAATGAGTTATACTCTTATTCAGAGTTGGGGTTACTAAAAAAATCAAATATAACAACATTGTTTTATCAAGATTTATTTGAATGTATGTATTCAATTGAATAAAAATATAAAATAAAAAGTTCAGTTATTAATTATTAATTTAATTTATTTATCATAACAGATACATCAAAAACTAAATGGTTAGATTTAAATGAAATCGAAAAAATAGATTATTTGCAACATTTAATTCAATATTTTGAACTTTCAATAAAGGGAGCGGATAATTTTAACAGGTATTTAATTAAATCTAGATTCATATGGTATATAGCGCAAGGTGTAAAAGAGGAATCTTCAGATATTCAACATCAATTAAATAATTCAAAAAATAACTGTACATTATTAAGAAAAGCAAATTATTTACCAATTTTAACTAAAACTCTATTATTAGCATCAAAGTATGCAGAAATTAAAATATACAATTACTATTAATGCATAGATATTAATAATTTTCTTTTATTTTAGAATTTCAAATGAACAACAACAACAGTTACAACAACAAAATGATAACACAACCACTACCACTACCACAACCACGACAAACTCAGATAAACCACATATTAGTCATAAAAGAAATAATAATCATTTAAAAAATATAAATGGCCCAAAAAATACAACAGGTACAGGTAGCTTAAGCAATTCTTTAATGAAAGTAAATGTAAAAAGAGTCGACCCATTAATGGCAGTTTTATTGGATATAATTTATTTATTCATTTTAAATAATAAAGATGAACCAACATTTAAAGAAGAGTTATGTAAGTATAATTACCTACATTTCTAAATAGATTATATTTAAAGATATTAATTAAAATAATATTTTTATTGATACCAGTTGAGCCATTGGATGGTTGTTATACCTATAATTTAAATAACAGTTTAAATGATAATTTAAATGAATTAAATTCATTTGATAATCCAAATTTAATATCAATTATGATTCAATTGTTAATAGAGTTTAACGAAGTCGATGGTAACTTGTATCCAATTAAAAAGATATTAATGGTACTTTGGAGATCTTTAACAGTATTTATTGGTGGTTTCGAATTTTTAGAAAAAGAAAAAGAGGCAAGATTAAAGAAAGCAAACTTTAAAAAGGGTACTTCTAAAACCAGAACTACAGATATTTCAAATTTTATTAAATCTACATCCAGATATCACAGTCAACAAAAATCTTCAATACTTCACAAAGTAAACACTCATTATTTAGGTACCTCAAAAGAGTATAAAGACCATGATGTTTTTAGATTACCAACATCGTTATCAGATTCATTAAATGTGCTTCAAACTAACCTTTACCCACCCGAGCAAATTAGAAAAGAAATTGGTATTAACTATTATAGCAGTAATAACAACAACACAACAACTCCCCATACCGAATCTGATTTCTTTTATGATCCAAATAATAAGCCAAAACCAAGAATATTAATTGAAAATCCTTCAAATTTTGAAAGATTTTATGTAAGTAGCAAAATTTTAAAGTTATAGCTCAAACTACGATTTTATTAATCATTTTCTTTTGTATTATTCACAGTGTTTAAATGCATCAAACTTTTCAAAAATTGTAATTATTTTATTAAAAATTTTATTAGCATCGACTCCAGTAGTTAAAAATTATACAGGTCCAATTAATTTAATTGCAGAGATTGTAATTGACCAACCAACACCAGGATCATCAGCTTCATTATATGAAACCATGCAATCAGCTACTGATTTCTTTAGACATAAAGAAATTATTTCAAAGTCAACTTTAGGAATTTTATTACTAATTGTTAAACATTCTAAATTTAATCGTAATTATTGCATACTTATTATTATTATTATCTTTTTTTAAAAGGATTATCTAACAAACTATTTATTTATTATTTAGAACATTTACAATTTGAATATATAACAAAAATAATGTATGAATCAAATGCTTTGGTTTTATTGTACAAATGTTTAAATCATGAAGCTGTAGAAAAATATTTATATTCACAAAATTATTTACAAAGCGAGGAATATTTTAATATCGAACAAAATCAAACATCATCTAATAATAATAATAGTAGCGATAGCAATTTACAAGAAAATTATAGAAATTTCTTTAGTACAATATGTAGTTTAAAATTAATTCAAAAAGTTATGAAGCATCATCCATCAAGAATTTCATCATTATCTCCATCGAAATCTGCTGTAGGTTTTATTTTATTATTTTATAATTTTATTTATATTAATTTATTTATATTTTTATTAATTTTAATTTTTATAGAACATTTTAAAAAAATATTGTATTGTTAATCAACAATTGATTAAATTGTATAGTTTAAAAATTATGAAAAATTTAGTGCCATTCCAAACAAAGAAATGGAAACAAATAAATATGAGAATTATATCAGATATTTATTTGTATGTTCCAATTCATATTAATGACACTTGGCTATTAAACCACAACTACGATCCACCACAAACAGATGTAGGTAGAAATATAACAGTTATAATTTTAAAGATTAGGATACTAAACATTTTTATTTATATAATTAGGAATATGAGGTTTTATTACAAGAAAAGGTTGAGGAGTATCACAGAGTCAACTATGAACAATGGTACAAGACAGAAAATCTAGATTTAGTTTATAAGAATGAACAGGTTATGGGTTGTAATATTGATCAAGATTTTTTAAATACAATAGAGTTATCAAAAGAAGAAAGAGATGCAATTCAAAATGATAGATTAAGATACACCGAAGGGTCATCAATTATATTTATTAACGATTCATTGGAGGATGAATTATTAGCAAGTAAATGGAACATAGAAAAACCAAAATTTACTTTAAAATGATAATATAAAAAATAAAAATATTAATATATTTAATTTATGTATGTAAATTTATTTTGTTGCCTTTTTATTTTTTTGATTGTGTGTTAAAATTTAATTTTTTTTTTTTTTTTTTAGAAAATATTAATTAAGGAAATTTAAAAAGATAAAACATATTAAACAAAATATTATTTATATAAACATTATTCATTTAAATAAATTAAAACATAATAATTATGTATCATTTTATGACAAAAAATTTTATTTTTTTCTATTTTTTTTTATTTTTATTTTTTTTATTTTTAATTTATTTTTCATTTTTTATTTAAAATCTCCCACTAACACAACAATGATAAATAATAAAAGTTGCACTATATTATATGCAACAGAATCAGGAACTTCACAAGAAGTTGCAGAAAAATTAACAAGAGATTTAATAAAATATGACATCAAACCAAAATTATTTGACATTGGAAATTATAATAAAATAAAATTACCAGAAGAAAAGGTTGTTATTTTTGTTCTTTCAACAACTGGTCATGGTGATGTACCAGATCCAATGAAGCCATTTTGGAACTTTTTATTAATCAAATCATTACCAAGTAACTCATTATCAAGAACTAAATTTGCAGTATTGGGTTTGGGCGATTCATCATATACAACTTATAATTTTGCAGCAAAGAAATTATATTCAAGATTAATGTCATTGGGTGCAATCCCATTATTACGTAGAGGTGATGCAGATGATCAACATGACTTGGGAATCGATTATGAAGTTGAAAAATGGACAAAAGAGTTAATAGATTCACTTTTATTAATGTATCCATTACCTCAAAATTTTAATATAAACGATAATTCAATGTAAATATAAAAAAATTTTATTTACATTAAAATTTTTTTTAATTTTAAATTAACAATATTCATTATTTTTTAGATTAAAAGCCAAGTTTAAATTAAAGATAAATAAAGATAATACAGAATTAAAAGCAAATGATATAGTTTCAAATAAACAATTTTCAAAGAGTAAAATTATTAGGAATGAAAGAATTACAAATATAGATTGGGAACAAGATGTTAGACACATAGAGTTGGATATTACCGAAATCAATAATCAAATAAAATCTCCACAAAAGTTTTATAAAAATGGTGATGTTGCATATATTTTACCAAGAAACCCAAAGAAAAAAGTAATGGAGTTTATTCAATTATTAAAATTAAATGAAAATTGGATTGTCGAATCAATAGAGCCTGTAGATCCAGAAATAACACAAGCCCCAACATCAATTATCACACCAATTTCAGTTTATCAGTTAGTTGAAAGTTATTTCGATATTTTAGGTTCACCAAAGAGATACTTTTTCGAATTATTATCATATTTTGTTGAAAATCCTATGGAAAAAGAAAGGTTGGAATTTTTCTCTTCAGCTGAAGGCCAAGACGATCTCAGAACCTATAATCAAAAAGAAAAAAGAAACTATATAGATGTACTAGTAGAATTCCCATCTGCTAATATTCCATTTGAGTTTTTATTTGATTTAATATCACCAATTAAACCAAGACCATTTTCAATTTCATCATCATCATCTCTTTATCCAAATGCCATTCATATCACCGCTGGTATCAACACTTACAAAACTCCTTATAGACATCTGCTTAGAACTGGTTTATGTTCACAATATTTTCAATCTTTGGAACTAAATGAAACAGTTTCATTGTTTATTAAAGAAAGTGGTGCATCATTACCAAAGTCATACGAAACACCAATTATTATGGTTGGCCCAGGTACTGGTTGTGCAATGTTTAGATCATTTATGCAAGAAAGACAATACCAAAAAGAGTCCAACAGCATCCAATCCTTAGGTAAAGCATTATTTTATTTTGGTTGTAGACACGAGGCAAAGGATTATCTCTATAGAAACGAATTTGAACAGTTTGAAAAAAATGGTACAATTACAAAATTAACAACTGCGTTCTCTCGTGACTCTAAAGACGGAAAAAAGAATTATGTCCAGAACTATATCGAAAAAGACTCTGATCAAATTTGGCAAGTTTTAAATAATGAAAATGGTTATTTCTATATCTCTGGTTCCTCCGGTAGAATGCCTAAAGATATTAAGCAAACTTTATTAGAAATTATAAAATCAAATTTATTAAAAAACAATTCAGATCAAGAGCAATCAAATATTGACCAATTAGTAAACAATTATTTTGAAAAATTGGAAATAGAAAAAAGATATATCACAGAGACGTGGTAAAAATATAAATATAAAATTAAATATAAATAAATAAATAAAAAAACGAATATTTTATTTATTAAAAAACAAAATCTATAAATTATGTAATAACTACTATTTAGTTTTATTTAATTTGGATTTTATTTCCGATTTCAATAAATGATTCATGATGGATGTTGAAATAGTGGGCTTCTGATCTTGAATTTTGTAGTAAAATATCAAAAATAAAAGTTCCTATACGCTTTAAAAAGAATTGATTCTTGGGTGCTTTTACTCTTTCTCTACTACCTATGTATTTAATATTCAAACGCTTTTTAAAAGATGGAATATCTAATTCTATTTCGTTGTATCTTTCTTTTTCATTTTTTGTGCTATTTTCGTCATAATGATAGTCTGTTATTAAATCATTGTTTCTGTGGTTAAGAGGGCTGTGACTACCTGAGCTACCTGTGCTACCTCTGTAATTATTATCCTTTAAAAATGTTGATAGCTTTTCTTTTCTTAGTACTATAATTTTCTGATCTATTAGTTTTTTGATTTCTTTTGGAATATTAATAACCTCACTATAACCATAATTTAATGCAACTTGGTAAACACCTTTATCTGGAATTAATTCACGGCATACAATTCTATGAGCTTCATTGATAAATGGTACGGGTAAATGATAAACTTTAACAAAGAATAGCGGATAGGGCATTTGATTAAGGAATGGTAAAAGCTTTAGTAAAGAGAGAGGGGTCTTTTCTTCATAGAGAGAGAAGAATACTGCAGGATTACAACGTTTATCATTGTCACCAAGATTACATTGTTCTAAAGTGGCTGAAAGAGGTGGTGATATTTGTTGAATTTCTTTAACCATTTTCTCTCTACCAGTTTTAAAAATTAACATTAAAGATGAAATTACAAAACCAACGGCTAATGGGAACCAACCACCATGAGGAATTTTGACGACAGATGATGTAAAAAAGAGACCATCCATTATAATAAATGAGATAGAAAGTGGAACAAGATATACTAGTCTAACGTTAAAATGTAATCGTAGTACAAATAGATACATTATGGTTGTTAAAAGCATAACCAAAGCAACACCTAAACCGTAAGCAGCAATTAAATTTGATGAGTGTTTAAAACCTATGACCACAATCAAAGTTAAAAAACACAAAGCCCAATTAACTTCTGATATATAAATTTGACCTTTAATTTTTTTTGAAGTGTGTTTAACTTTTAAGGGTGGGAAGAATTTTAAAGATATAGCCTGGTTTATTATAGAGAATGCACCTGATATTAATGCTTGACTTGCAATAACTGTGGCGAGTGTGGCTAATATAATCATAGGCCAAAGGAATGATCGTGGCATAAGTTCAAAGAATGGATTGCTAACATGTGGATTCTCAATATAGAGAGCAGCCTGACCCATATAATTTAAAAGTAAACATGGAAATGCTATAAAAAACCATGCAATTCTAACTGCTTTTTTACCAAAATGACCCAAATCTGCATAAAGTGCTTCACAACCAGTTCTATAAAAATTAAAATTTTAGTTTGAGTTTTTTTTTTTTTAATTTTAATTATTTGTTTTATACATACACACACAAAATAACAGTACCCAATAATAAAAAACCTTTGGGACCATTTAAGAGAAAATGGCTAATACCCTCCCATGGATTGAAAGCTCTAAATACAACTGGGTGATTGACTACTTTTATTAAACCAAATATACCAATTGCAAAAAACCAAAGAATTAGAACTGGTCCGCAAATAATACCGATAGCTTCTGTACCAAATGATTGAATAGCAAAGAGAATAAATAAAATAATAACAGTAATTGGGATAATCCAACTTTTAATGGTGTCTCCTTTAATTCCTACTTCTAAACCTTCAACAGCACTTAATACTTTAATAAATATTAAAAAAATTAATTAGTATTTATAATTTAAAAAATAAAGCAATTACTAAAATAAAATACATACGAGATACAGCCGGAGTGATAACACCATCTCCCAATATAAAAGAGGAGCCCAAGATAGAAATAACTGAAAGAATTTTAATTAGCTTTGGGTTTGCTGTTTTTGGAATTAAACTTGTCAATGCTATAATACCACCTTCACCATTATTGTCTACTTGCAATATAAATGACATATATTTAACACAGACCACCATAATTAATGCCCATATAATAAGACTTAAACTTCCAATAATATTTTTTTCGTTTACTGGGTGATCTTCGCTAAACATTGACGAATAAACATATAATACCGATGTACCAATATCACCAAAAATAACCTAATTATTAAACAAAATCTTGTTAGTTAATTTTCTTATTATTTTATACACTGTATTTTGTTACTTACACCAATTGCAGTTAAACTAAGATACAAAGTTCCCCATAACCCTTTAGAGCTGGTGTGTGTTTCTGGATATAAGTCAGAGATCTTTTGAACATTTTGATTTACCTGTTCCTCTTTAATATCTACCAAATTCTCTGACGATGTGCTGCTGGTATCACCAAATGAATGGTTGATAATTTGGTTGTTATTATTGTTATTATTATTCTCCATCATTTTCTAAAAAGAAAAAGAAAAAAAAAAAAAAGTATTTTAAATTTAAAAATTATCTATATACCTAAGTTGTTTTAAAATATAAGTATTATAATAAATAAAAAATAAAATAGAAATGTTTATTACTACATACCAAAACATCACTTCCTTTTTTTTTGTTAACTAGGGAGTGAATTTATTAATTTTGGAAAAATTTAAAAATTTTTTTTTAATAATATTAAATTTTTTTTATTAAAAATTATAATATATACACAAACTATATGATGTTTATTTGTATGTGTGAAACTATTACTATTATTTATAAAATAAAAAAATAAAATAAAAAAAAAAAATAAAAAAAATAAAATAAAATAAAAAAAAATAAAATCGTTTTTATTTATAAAAAAATAAATAAAATTATTAAAAAAATTTTTTTGATTTCTTTTGGACCTAATATTAAATAATAATAATTTACACAAAAATGTTAAAAGATAATGAATGAGATTATTCTTTAAAAACAAAACTTTTAGACCATCTTTTTTTTTTTCTTTTAATTTGTTTTTTTTATATTTTCATTTTCTTTATTTGTGATGATTAAATAATAAGACAAAAAGACATATTATTTTTTTTTTTTGTTTTTTGATTAAAAAATTTTTTTTTAATTTTTTTTTAATTTTTTTTAATTTTTTTTTTTGATCTATAAAATGAAATCCTTAAAAAGGTTATAAAAATAGATTAATTATTTTCATTTTTTTTTCAAAAAAATTTATAAAGAGCTCGTTCTCATATTAATTTATTTTATTGTTTTTTTAACAAAAATTTAAACAATAACCACCATATAAAAAAATCATTTCAAAGGCAATATGTGGGTATTCGTTTGTGACTTTTAATAAAATTGCTTACTTTTTTACTAATTTTTTTTTATTTAATCTAGATTAATATAGTTAAAAAAGTGAAAAAAGAGTGCAAATATAGTTTTCAAATAAAGAAAAACCCAAATAATAATATTGTGGTTTTTTTTATATGAATGACCACACAACATTAATTAAATTAAATTATTTTTTTTATTAATAATAACGCAGTTTTTCATCATATACACAAATTTGGTAACCATGCACAGTTTTGATCAAAGCATTGATAGGAAAAGAAGTTCGAGTTATTTATAATTAATGCGGAGGAAAAAATATTTATATAAGCACACAAAAATTGCAATTTTTTTTCCTTTTTTTTCAATTATTATTATTTAAACCACACACCCACATAATAAATAATTTTAATTAATATTTATATACTTTTTTTTTTTTCATATCATTATATATAAAAAATAAATTATAATGATTTATTTATTTAATAAAGTTTTTAAAATATTTTAATTACCCCTTTAAATAAACTTATTTATATATATATATTTCTTTTTTTTTATTTTTATTTTTTTTTATTTTTTTATCTCTTATAGCTTCTCTTGCTCGGTGCTTAGTATTCATACTTCAAAATGATTATGGAAAAGAATTCACAAGTTTGCTCCAATTATTTACAATTTAAAAGTTGTGCAACCAATTCAATTAGAAACAATTTAAAACTTAAAATTGGAAACGACGATGGAAACAACCGTGTAAACAACTATCTTCATAACAGTTGGGGAGGTGCCTCTAGTAACAGTAGTAGTGACAGCGAATGTGACTGTGATAGTAACAGCGAAAGTGAATGCGAAAATGAAATAAAATATTATTTAAAAAATAAAATTAATATTTCATTCGATATCTCCTCGCTCTATCTTTCACCAACAGACTTTTCCAACATTTTAGAGTACTGGCAATACAGATTCAAAAACTCTATCCACTTGATTGTAGTCTATAAAATCAAATCTAACGAGATTGGTACCAAGTTTTCTCAGATGCTACAACTACCATTATTAATATTAGAAAAGGACGATATTAATAATACTTTTAACCATTCAAACAATATCAAATTAAATGAAATGGTCCATTGCTCATCTTCAAATGTCGACAAACCATTTCATATTTTAATAATGAATGAAATATTAAAAGAAGGTAAAACCCTAACCGATTCAATTGAATATTTAAAGAAATACCTTTCAAAGAATAATGTTGGCACATACAAGATTACAACTACCGCTATTGCATCAATTAAATCAATGAAAGGTAAAGAAAACATTTATGAAAGATACAATGACATCAATGTTGATACAATTTTCGAAATTTAAAATCAACTAATCTAAAATAATAAAAAAAACTGCATAAATTTTATTTTATATTATAATATAAGCAGTAAAGTCATAAAAAAACAAATATCTGTTTAGATTATCTTTTTTAAAAACCCACAACTAAAAAAACTTAAATTTAATATTAACTTTAAAAAAAAATTTTTAAAAAAAAATTTTATTATTAGAGCAACCAAATTTGCAAATTTGAAATAACAAATATAAGGGCAGTTTTTACAATAAAATAAAAAAAAATTTAAATTTTTTAAAATTTTATTATATTTTTTTTGATAAATTAAAAATTTTTAAATTTTATTATATTTTTTTAATTTATCAAAAAAAAATATAATGGATAATTCTAACAATTTATTTTTCAAAATTTGGAGGAATGTGGTTATAAGAACTCGAATTATATATTTTTTGAGATTGTTCATCAATCATAATATATATTTTCCAACGAAAGAACAATTAATAGAATTCCCAAATAAAAATAACTTAAGAGATGTAACAATTGACTTTGATGAAGATTTTGATTTTGGATTACTACCATCCATTGAAATACTTAAATTTGGTTCTTATTTTAATCAAATACCCAACTTTAATCAAATACCCTTATCAGTTAAAACATTGAAGCTGGGGAGAAATTTCAATCAACCACTTAAAGCAGGAGATATACCCTTATCAGTTAAAACATTGAAGCTAGGGAGAAATTTCAATCAATCACTTAAAGCAGGAGATATACCCTTATCGGTTAAAACATTGAGGCTAGGGAGAGATTTTGATCAACCACTTAAAGTAGGAGATATACCATCCTCAGTTAAGACATTATTATTTGGTTATAGATTCAATCAACCACTTAAAGCAGGAGATATACCATCCTCAGTTAAGATATTAACATTTGGTAATAATTTCAATAAACCACTTAAAGCAGGAGATATACCGTCCTCAGTTAATAAATTAACATTTGGTAATAATTTCAATCAACGACTTAAAGAAGGAGATATACCATCTTCAGTAGAAAAGCTAATATTTGGTTATGGATTCAATTGTTCACTTGGAGAAATTGTTCTTCCATCATCAGTTAAAAAACTAAAACTAGGGAATTTCGAACAACCACTTAAACAAGGTGATATTCCATCCTCAGTTGAAAAATTAGAATTTGGTGATTATTTCAATCAACCACTTAAAGTAGGAGATATACCATCCTCAGTTAAGATATTAAGATTTGGTCATAGATTCAATCAACCACTTATCGAAGGTGATATTCCTTCCTCAGTTGAAGAATTAGAATTTGGGACCTTTTTCAACCTGCCTCTTAATGAAGGATCCGTGCCGTCATCAGTCAAGACCTTGGTTTTTGGGGAACATTTCAATCAACCACTTAAAGCAGGAGATATACCATCCTCAGTTAAGACATTATTATTTGGTTATAGATTCAATCAACCACTTGTACAAGGTGATATTCCATCCTCAGTTGAAGAATTAGAATTTTATAAAAATTTCAATCAACCACTTAAAGCAGGAGATATACCATCCTCAGTTAAGACATTAACATTTCGTAGAAGTTTCAATCAACCACTTAAACAAGGTGATATACCATCATCAGTCAAGACCTTGGTTTTTGGTGATTATTTCAATCAACCACTAAAAGCAGGAGATATACCATCCTCAGTTAAGATATTAACATTTGGTATTAGATTCGGACAACCACTTAAACAAGGTGATATTCCACCATCAGTTAAGACATTAGCATTAGGTGAGCATTTCAATGAACCACTTAAACAAGGTGATATTCCATCCTCAGTTCAAGAATTAAAATTTGGGACCTGCTTCAACCTGCCTCTTAGTGAAGGATCAGTGCCATCATCAGTCAAGACCTTGGTTTTTGGTAGTTATTTCAATCAACCACTTAAAGCAGGTGATATACCATCCTCAGTTAAGACATTAACATTTGGCAAAAAATTCAATCAACCACTTAAAGCAGGAGATATACCATCCTCAGTTAAGACATTAACATTTGGTAGAAATTTCGATCAACCACTTACCCAAGGTATACCAGAATCAGTTGAATTAATATATAGGAGAGAAAAAAAGGAAAATATACTATTGGTATATTAAAGAAATTTTGGTAAAAAAATAAAAAGATTTTATTTAAAAAAAAAATATTTTAAAGTATGTTCATCAATCAAATTATCGTTATTGTTTTAGATCACCTGGAATTATCCAAAAACTAATTTTTTTTTTAAAAAAGATAAAAATTGATTTTGTAAAATAAAAAAAAGATAAAAAAAAGATAATAATTTGTAAAATAAAATAAAATTGAAAATTTATAAAGGTTTTATTATCTAAAGAAAAAATGATTAAAATTATTTTTATCATATTTATTGTGGACTCTTTCATCTTATTTTTGTTAAGAACATCACAACTTCTAGGTTACAAAATGCTATACAGTTGTTTTTTGGGTCTATTTAAGGATTAAAATATCTTTTTTTATTTATTTTGAATATATTATGGAGGGCCCAACTTTGTCATATTCGAATCTTGAGTAATTTTTTGAATTATAGTGAGATGTTTCAATTAACGAACAACCTAACCATGAGGAGTAGAGTGGTTCTGATGTTGATGTAATTTTAATGGTTACACATTCACCTTCATTGGACGATAATACATTATGCATCTCCTTTTCTAAACGCTCTTTAAAACCTTTGAATTTAGTGTTTCCACCTGTTAAAACTATGTTACTGAATAAATCTTTTTGAATTTCTTTTTTATTAAATTTCATTATTGTTTCATAAATTAATCTGTCAATAGAGTCCATGGGGATTTGATGAAGAGATGGATTAAAAATTAATTCTGGTGCTTTAAAAACTTCATTAGTAAAATTAATCATTTTACCAGCAGGTAATTGATATTCCTTTTCTTCCTGTTGTTGTTCATTGTAACAATCTAAAGAAATAAAACCAAAGTTTTCCTTTACTTGACTTACAATGTTCTTATCATACTGATAGATTTTATTTCCATTTTCATTTAACAATTTAAATAAATAATCTGTAATATCTCTTCCACCTATTTTCAATAATACGACTGAATTTCTTTCTACAACACCATCTATAACAGGTACTATAAGTGTTGAGCTATCACCCGAATCGACAACAAGTCCTGTTTTTAAACCTATTGATTTTAGTGTTAACTCTTGCTGTATGCCTATATATAAATTTTGTACATTAAATGTTTCAAACATAACTTTAGTTATTTCTTCTTTATTTTTATTTGTATCTATTGGTGACTGTGCGATGATAACTGAGTATTCCTCTGTATTAACATTAAGTTCGTTAAAAATATAAACCAAAATTTTTTCCATATCATCCCAATTTGAAACAACTCCATACTCTATTGGGTATTTTAGTGCTAATATTCCTTTTTTTGAAATTGCTTCACTGCCAATGTAATGGGGTTTATCACATAAATCCCTACTTAGATCCAAAAATCTTGGTCTACCAATGGTTGAAGGTACTATAAGTCTTGGCCTATCTTCATTTGAATATCCAACCTTAATATAATATGATCCAATGTCAATTACTACAATTAAATTAAACCATTAGCTTATATACTGTCTTAGTATATTTTTACAAAATATAAATTACCTATTTTTTTATCCATGATATTATCCATTTTAAACTATAAACTGTTAATCGATAGCTATAATTAAAAATATAAAAAACAAATAATAAATATAAATTAAAAAATTGATGAGTTAAAAAAATTTAAAATATAAAAATTTAAAAAAAAATAAAAATAAAAATAGATTTTTTTATTTTTATTATTTGAAAATTAATATATTTGGTATTTATTTTAAAATCTTATTTAGTAATATTTTTATTTATTTGTTTATGTATCTGTATGCATCTGCATCTGATGAATTTGATCATTTGTTATTTTTATACTAAAGTTGTTCCTTTTTTCTTTTTTCTTCTTCCTCTTCTTTTCTTTTTTCTAAATAATAATCACGGAATTCTCTTAAAAGGGTAATAAAGATTTCCATAGCAATTAAAAATATAATAATTCTTTCCAAACGAATTGAATGCTTGTGTTTTTGCTCATCATTGATAACATCGTAAATGTCAGTGATTAAATTTAACTTTTCATTCATGATTCTAATACGTTTACCAATTTCGCAATGTGATCTGACAGTGTTGTAAATATTTTCACCTTCAGTATTTTCCCAAAAGAATTCTGGTGTTTCAAAATCAGAGTGTAAATTGATGCTACTCTTGATTAATAATTGTTCACCAAGTTGACGAATGATTTCAATCTTTTTTAATTGATTAATTTTACCAGTGATAGAAATATTCTCGACAATATCACTAATATTTTGAACTCTATCTTCTAATGGAAACAATGCAACCGATTGAGCGAATGCATATGAGGAACAAAACTTTTCAATTTCTTGATCACCTTGAGCTTTTGATAAGTTTAAGAGTTCTTGTGGCTTTTTTGAAATTTCAAAATTGAATGATTTTTGATTGGATACTTTGTAACGATATGTATCTGAAAGTGGTGTTTGATTTGGTCTGATTTCATATGGCTTTAACCAATTTAAAATAGTCTGTAACTGTGCATCGGTGATACCCCATGATACTACACAACCAAACGATGGAAATATATAAACATCACGATTGCTTTCTTCGTTAACCAACCATCTAACATTACTTGGCTCGAATACTCTTTGAAGAATAAATCCCTCTGGTAAATTTTCAATTCCTTTTTTATAACTTCTACTTGTACTAATTACCTTGCAAGTATAGATTTTTTCTGATTTCTCAAAATTATTATTATTATTATTGTTATGACTATTATGACTATTATGACTATTGTTGTTGTTATTATTGTTATGATTATTATTTACAAGTTGTTGTGGTTGTGGTTGTTGTTGTTGTTGTTGTTGTTGTATAAAATTACTATTATTGTTGGTTGAATATTTTCTATTTACAAATTTACTATTAACATTATTAAAAAATTGTATGCAATTATTATTACTATTTTGCTTGCTATAAAGTGGTGTGTTTGTAGTTGTAAAACTATTTAAAAAATTCCCACTAGAAGGGGTAAAGTTTTTTAAATAATTTAATTTTAAATTTTTTTTGAAACTATTAATACTATTGAATCTATTAATCATTTTTTTCTATAAAACTTAATGATAAAAAGATTAGATAAAACGAATAATTACTTAAACAATTTAAAAAATAATTAAAATGATTTCGCAAAAAAAAAAAATTAAAAAATTAAAAAATTTATAAAAAAAAAAAATAAAAAACAAAAAAAATAAAAAAATAAAAAAAAAAATAAAAAAATTAAAAAATAAATGAAATAAACGAATAAATATTATTTTAATATAAACGAATTATGTTTTTAGAAAAGAATAAATTTAGTGTTTTTTTTTCAGTGTTTATTTATTAAGATTGTTGTTCGGCCAATGTGTAGCCATTTTCATTTTCGATGAGTTGGTTGTTATCTTTTAAGAATTTAATAAAATGTTTTAAATCTGAAATTTTTTTATCTTCTTCTGGTTTAATTTGAAGATGCTCTATGAGGATATTTTCTTTGATACCATAACCATTTGAGGTATATGCTTTGATTACTTTAATAACTAATGATGGGAATGGAGCCAACATATAATAAAATGAACGAATACTTTCAGAAATGTGGGCTGTGACTTCGTTATAATTTGTAATTTTATGAAATGAAGATAATGAAGCTTGGATTTGAGTAAATGTAACTGTTCCTACTCCTGGTTTATTCATGAATGGCCTTACAATAAATGAATAATATTGAGATATTTCAAAGTCTTCAGCTTTATATGGTGTTTTGTATTGAACAACTCTAAGATCTGAACAACCATCTGAAATCATTAATTCAAGAGTTGATGTTTCATCCTCGCCCTCTGCTACCTTTTTACGAACAACTCTAGATGATTTAACAAAACCTGCAACCCATGCCTAAATTTTAAATAAAAATTAAAAATGAAAAACATAATTGAAATTAGTATTATTATTTATTATTATTATTATTATTATCATCATATAAATATAAACAACTGTATTGTAGCCTTACATTTGTAATATAAATTCCATCAACTTCGTTTGATAATTTACATTTAAAAACATATTTAGTATCAACCAAGTCGGAGGTTAAATTTAAAAATGTATATAAATCCAAAGCTGGAATATTTGATGGTATTGGTGTTGGTGTGGTTGTTGTTGTTGCTGGGGTTGTCATTTTGTTTATTCTTATTTATCCCAATAATAATATTTTATCTATTTATTTGTGTGGATAATTATATAATTTGTTTTTGTTGAGTAAAAATTTTAAAAATAATAAAAAAAAAAATAAAAAAATTAAATTATTTTTTTTAAATAAATTTATTTTTATGAAAAAAAAAAAAAAAAATTTTGAGCGGTTTCCAAATATTTAATGAATACTAGTAAAAATTTTAAAAAGGAAATTTGAGATAAGAATAAATGATTCACAAATAACCAATTTCTAAATATTAAGATCTTTTCAATTTTTTTTTTAAAATAAATATTTATTAAAAATATAATAACGATTACAATTAAAATTTGTTTTGGTTTGCGACTAAAAATAAAATATTAAATTATTTTAAATTCTATCCATATTCATTGATTTGTTTTGTTGTTATTATTTTATTATTATTTTATTGTTATTTTATTATTTATTATTTTATTATTATTATTATTTTAATTTACAATTTGAGAAGCTTCAGGTAAACCATATTCATCAACTTGAGCGGCACTATGGGGATCGGTGGTTGGAGCAGAAGGTGCCATTAAATAAGATGGCATTGATGCTTCTAATTCTAACTCTTCGCCCATTGACATTAATTCTGCCTCTAATTCAGATTCGTCTAAAGTTTCTGGAGTTTGGTATGCTCTTCCAAGTGACTCTTGAATTTCATTATTATAATCGAGTAAATCTTGCATTTCGTCTTGCATATCGTCTACCTCTTCAACTTTAATGTGTTTGAGTTGCTGCTTCATATCTTTAGCACCCTGTTTCATTGCTGCTACTGTTGTAATTGTATCTCTCATTGACTCTGTTGCAAACTTAGTTTGCTCCATGTTAAATGATGTGTTTGCCATTTGATCTCTTTGTCTCTCATACCTATTTATATATATAAAAATATAAAACAAATATTTTGTTAGTACTTATCCTCGTTTTCCGCATAGTAACCATAACAAATATAATTACATTTTCTTTTGTTGTAAAACTCTAATTGCTTTTTGTTTAATTGCATTTTGTGCTGGACCAGGTCTAGTTGATTTTATTTGTTTATCATATGCAAGTAATTCTTGATTTAATTTATTGATTTTTTCATCCATTTGACCCATTCTACCATCAATCTATTAATAATTAAAAAAAACTATTAGTATTTATAATTTTATTAAAACAATAGTGTTTTTATATAGTTTGTAAATATTACTCTTTTGGTAGCTTCGTCTAATGTTGGAGCTGGTGGGGCTTTAGAACCAAAAAATCTTTTCATTTTTTAATGTTTTTATGTGTGTGAATATATCCCACTATATTATTATTATTATAATTATTTATTTATGTACAAAAAAAAAAAAAGAAATAAAATAAAGTATAAAAAAAAGTTATTCTCCTCTCTTTTATTATTATAATATTTAAACTGTTGTTATTTACAAAAAAAAAAAAAAACCTTAATACTATATATCTATTTTATAACCCCCTATATAGTTTTTTAATATATATATAATAAAGAATTAAAAATAATAATAATTTAAAAAATAAAATTAAAAATTTAAAAAAAAAAATTAAAAAAAAAAAATTAAAAATTTAAAAAAAAATTATTAAAAATATGAGTTTTAAAAAAGATTTTTTTTTTTTTTATTTAATTTTTTTTTATTTAAAACTTAAAAAATTAGTAAAAAAAAAATTCTCTCTATTTATTATTTTTTTTTTTTTCTTAATTTGTTTTATTTATATTATTTTTTGTATATTTTAGTTTGTATATTAATAATTAATAACCTTTGTGATTCAAATAAAACAATATTATATAAATATAATCATATTTTTTATATACATTTATCTATTATCAAGATAATAAAATGAACTTTTTTGGACCAAGCTATGAACCAAATAAATTGTAAATATAGTTAAATTTGGATTATATTATTGATGATCAAAATATTAATACTAATATATAATTTTATAATTAAAAAAAAAAAAAAAAAGAAAAGTACAACTTAAATTAGCAGTTAGTAGATTGCAAATTTTAAAAAATAAAAAAGCAAATATAGTTAGAGATGAAAAAAGAAATGTCGCAGAATTATTAAAGAGCAATAATGAAGAATCAGCACGTATTCGTGTTGAAACCATTGTTAGAGATGACAATTTAATTGAATGCTATCAAATTATTGAAATTTTATGTGAATTGTTACACACCAGAATTCAATTGATCTCATGTTCAGAGTAAGTATCAAACATATCTGCATATAAACACTGTATATATAAACTTTTATTAACATTTTTAATTTATAATAATTTATAGTCAAATACCAATAGAAATAAAAGAGGCAATTTTTACATTAGTTTATGCATCACAAAGAATTCAAATTCCAGAATTAGAAAACATCAAAATACAACTAAAAGCAAAATATGGCAAAAATTTAGAACATGAAGTTAATTGTCAATGTGGCACACATGTTAACCCAAAGATTGTTCAAAAACTAAGTTATGCAACACCAGATCCAGCAATAATTTTCCAATATTTAAATGATATAGCATCACACTATAAACTAGACTATTGTTGTCAAGCACCTATAATTATACCATCTCCACAAACACAGTTTATTATTGCTTCACCTGACCAAGCCATGATGATGCAACCACAACCCATCATACCCCAACCCATCACCCAAAATTTCCCACAACAATCACAACAACCACTTCCATTACAACCAATGCAAAATTTCCCACAACAATCACAACAACCACTACCACAACAACCTGGTATGCCATCTTTCCCAGTTATGGTAATTCCACAACAACCAACTGTAACACAAATCCAACAACAACAACAAATTCAAAAACAATATCAACAACCACCACCACAATATCAACCATCTGCTCCACCATCCACATTTAATGTATCCCAATTTCCATCAATACCAACACATAACGACAATAACAATAACAATAATAATAATTTTAATAATAGTGGTGATAATTTCCCAAGTTTCCCAAATAATAATTTTAACAATAATTCAAATAACAATTTTGGTGGATTCCCATCACCACCTCCATACCAACCATCATCCAATGGTGGTGATACAAATTATCCTGACTATGATGAATTAACTGCCAGATTTGAAGCTTTAAAAAAATCAAATGGTTTTTAAATAAAAAAAATTTTCAAAATCCTTGTTTATATATATATACCAATTTAAACTATAACCAAAAAACTTTTCTTTTTTTTAAATAAATATTTTTTTTATTTTGTTTTTTTTATTTAAATTCTATTGTAATCCAACCTTTTTTTTTTTAATTTTTTTTTTAATTGTATTTTAATTGTATTTTAAATTTAAAATATAACGATATGTGGGGTTAAAAAGGGTTGATTTAAAAATATATTTTTTTTAAATATTTTTTTAATTTTTTTTTTTTAATTTTTTTTTTTTAATTTCTTTCATTTTTTTTTTTTAAAATTTTTTTTTTTAAAATTTTTTTAATTAATTGTTTATTCACATTATTTTCTTTTTTATAGGCTTATTTATTTTTTAATAATTGTTTCCTTTCTTTTTTTTTTTTATATACTATAATAACCTTTTTTAAATAATTAATATAAATTATTTATTTGTACACTAATTTCAAATATACAAAGATGTCAAGCGGTCAATCAGATATGGATATTGCTCTTACTTCAAAGAGAATTAACATGGCTTTAGGTATATAATTATTTTAGTTTATTATAATATAGATAACCTTTTTTTTTTTTTTTTTTTCTCCTTTTATTTTTTTTTTTTTTTTAAAAAAATTATAAACTCTTGTAGATATGTTATAAAAAGAGAATTACTATTATTATCATAGTAGAAAAGCATAGATTGCTATTTTAAAACAGAAAAAAAAAGAGATAAAATATACAGTAAAATGCTCTCTTTAAAACAAACTCTTTATTAGTTTAATTTTCACTTTTAACAACCCTAAATAATAATAGCAATAAACAATAATAGTATCATCAAATATTAATTCGAAAATATTTTTTTCTTCTCTTTTTTTTTTATTAATCAATTCAATTTAAATTATAAATAAATAATAATTAAAAAATAATAATATCAACTACAACAATAATTGATAAAATTTAATAAAACTCATTTTATAATAATAGATGAATTCATCAAAGAAAACAAAAAAGACAACAGAAGAGTAAGTGGTAATCATATTAAGGGAATTTTATTTTAAATTGTGCACTAATTTTTTTTCTTTTTTTTCTTTTTTTTTCTTTTTTTTTTTATTGTATAGCCACAAAGAAATAACAGAGGTGGTAATACAAGAGTTAGCAGAGCCGATAATCGTAATCATAACAATAATAACAGAGGTGGTAATGCAGGTAATGTACCGTGCACGTTTA